CATGTATTTAAATTGGGAATTTATGGCTTCCAACCACCATACAATAAGTTGTAATACTTGATTCATACTCATATTTCCATAATATATCCATATATGTGAGTCTAAGGGTGTAGGATTACCTTTTGGAAGAAATCTTGCAAAACCCTCCTTTGAGTTCTTGAAGGAATTTCTTGAAAATCTAAGGATTTTTAAGATCAATCCATGTTAATATAAGTGTTTGGGAGTAGTAATCAACTCAAAATACTCCAAAAATCTTACCTTAGGATCATAGGGATGAAGTTTGGGACGAAATCCCCTTGAGAGAGCAAGCCTTAACCCCAAAAATGAGTTGGGAACTCTCTAGGCCGGTCTTGAGGTACCTAAAAACCTTCAGTTGCGTAGTTCGCGCGTTTGTTCGCGCGTTCTGCTGAGCATTCTGCCTCAGACGCGCGAAATGCGCGACTTCGCGCGATACTTCGCGCGCTCTGACACCTGACCTGTGAAATGCTCATAACTTCCTGTATACACTTCCAAATGACAAACGGTTTGTTGCGTTGGAAACTAGACTCAAAGAGCTTTAATTTAATAGGTTGTAGCTCACACAACTCCTTATATAACGAGAGATATTATCGTTCAAAGTGAGGCCTTGTGCGCACTCATTTACAACTTTCGTCTATTATGAAATTTCCAACTTCAAAAGTTCCCGTTAGCCATCCGAAATCATCCCGAGGTCCTCGGGACCTCAACCAAAAATACCAATACATCTTATAATATTATTCAAACTTGTTCCAATTATCAAAACACCTCGACTAATACCATAATTATTGAATTACACCGAATTCAAGTCTAAGTTCCTTTAAAACTTCCAAAACGCGCTTTCGATCAAAACTCGACCAAAATATGTCCGAATGACTTGAAATTTTGCACACATATCCAAAATGGCATAACGAAGCTGCAGAAATTCTCGAAACTCTATTCCGACCGTCGGATCAAAATTTCATCTATCAACCGGAAATTGCCAAAATACTAACTTCGCCAAAATGAGCTAATTTCTTATCGGACCTCCAAAATTAATTCCGATTGTGCTCCTAGGCCTTAAATCATCCCCCAAAACTAACAGAATCATCGGAATTCAATTCCGAGCCCTCTAACTCACAAGTCAACGTCCGGTTGACTTTTCCAAACTAATTCTTCCTTAAAGAGACTAATTGTCCCATTTCATACCAAACTCGATCCGAATTGACTCAAATTCACCAAGTACACATATTGAAACATGAATAAGCATTTAACGGGGAATACAGGATGTAAATACAGGAAACGACGGTTCGGGTTGTTACATATCTATAGATATTTTTGGCAACACTTTTCAAGCGTGGTTTATAATTAGTGTGGCTGTAGGCCTAAAATGCTGTAGTGTGAGGGACTTTTAGAGATATCAATTGGGTAGTGATTCTACATTTGATTTTGGTTATATCCCACTAGTCTATCATTAATTTTATCATTTAATTTCGGATTTGGAGTGAAAAATTAGAAAAAATGGGAAGTTCTTCAACTAAGATTTTGGGTTTTGATTGGGATATTGACATCGGATTTGGATAATTTTGGTACGAGTGAAATCGTGAATGAATGTGTATTCATATTTTGTGACTTTTGCCCGATTTCGAGACGTGGGCCCGGGGAGGTTTTTTAGGACAATTTTTGAATTTCTTGTTTAAGCCTTGATTTCATTAATTAAATTAGTCTATTATAGTTATATTTATGATATGTAATTACTTTTGGCTAGATTTGGGCCATTCAGAGCCGAATAATCGTGGGAAAGGCATTGTGAGTGATTGATTGAGTTTGGTTCGAGGTAAGTGGCTTGCCTAACCATGTGTGGGGGAACTCCCCTTCGAATTTGGTACTGTTTTTGATATGTGAGTGCCGTGTACGTGAGGTGATGAGTACGTACACGGGCTAATTATTGTAAAAAAACCCGATTTCTACTAAGTAATAACGTATTTCCTTCTTATTTTAGTTATATCAGCATGTGTAATATCTTGTTAGCTTAGAATACCATGTCTACTTGCCTTAATTGTTTATCTGAACTCTGTGCAGCATGTTTAGTGAATTTCTCATTTTTCCTTAACTTGAACTTAGTCTAAACTGTAGGCTTTCTTTCTGTGACTGTTATTTCCGTTGTTTGAGCTGCATATTTACTTTGGGACTACGGAACGGTATTTCGGGAGATCCCCCTGCGTATTTACTTTGGGACTGCAGAATGGTATTTCGGGAGATCCCCCTTCCTTGCATATTTACTTTGGGACTACGGAACGGTATTTCGGGAGATCCCCCTGTACATTTATGTTTGAGACTACGAGACGGTATCTCGGGAGATCGCCTGTTGTTATCTCTGCGTATTGAGCTGTTACCTTGCTATGATTTCATTCTTGTTAACTTTTGGTCTTTATTTTAATGCGATATTTCATTTTGTCTTGTTTTTATTATATATATATACTAGTAGGGCCCTGACCTGACCTCGTCACTACTCGACCGAGGTTAGACTTGACACTTGCTGGGTACCGTTGTGGTGTACTCATGCCCTTTCCTGCACATATTTTTCGTATGTAGATCTAGGTGCTTTATACCAGTCTCATTTTTAGTTGCACAGTTGCTGCCATTCCGGAGACTTCAATGTATATCTGTCACGTCCGCAGACCTCGGAGTCCCCTTCTATCCCTTTTGATATTGCTTCCCTTTAATGTATTCTAGTACAGATGTATAGAACAGTAGATCTTAGAAGCTTGTGACTTATGGTGTTCCGGATCCTGGGAGAGTTGTGTACATTTCGAGAGTGATTATTGTATATGTTGAGCAGCATCTCAAATGCTTGTTTAAATTATCTGTTATTGTTAGTTGTTAAATTTTAAGTTTTTCATTTCTTTTCCGCAAATATTAGGCTTACCTAGTCGTAGAGACTAGGTGTCGTCACGATAATTCATGGAGGGAGAATTTAGGTCGTGACATATTCTGTGTAATGTTCAACTCAAATTGAGTTTCATATACAATGACCAACTCTACTAAACTAGATATCTTCTGGAAAATGTTCCCATAAGTAGCTTTATTCCATGTAGACAATACTTTCTTCT